GGGACTTCTGAGTGGAGTCACAGTAAGAGCTCCACCCCCACCCAGGGAAACCCCAGCTGATATCTCAACAGAGAAAATGCCTTTCTGAAGGATTGAAATGGGAAAAAAAATTGGAACAAAAGAAAGTTCCGGCCCTGGAAAAGGGGTCCCTGCTCTGGGTTGGTGAGTCCATGGAGAAGTCAGAGAAAAGAATGAGTGAAGCCCTGGCCGGTTTGGCTCAGCGGTTAGAGCACCAGCCTACGGACCAGAGAGACCCAGGTTCGGTTCCCACTAAGGGCACTGTACCTCAGTTTCAGTTTGTCCCCAGCCCAGGATGGGGTTGTGTGGGTGGCAACAAGTCGATGTGTCTCTCTCACATTGATGTTTCTCTCTCTCTTCCTCCCTCCCGCTCTATCTGAAGATAAATGCAAAAATGTCCTCGAGTGAGGATAAAAAAAAAAAAAGAATGAGTGAAGCCCTGTGCCTGCCCCACAGGTGAGTGGGCACATGGGGAGGTGAGTGCATAGGGAGGGCCAGGGAGGAAAGTTCTGAAGCCCTGTGCCCACCTCACCACCCCCATAAGCCAGGTGTGGGCTATAGCCTTTCCCGGGACACACCAGCTCCGCTCCTGGCAGAAAGAGCACATGCTGTGGGTCCCAACTGGCTCTCACCTGGGAGCCTGTCTTCTCATCTAGAAAATGGGAATAATAGCAAGAAGTCCAACTGCTGCTCAGGGAAGGGGCTCAATAAATGGCTGCGTTGACGAAGCTGTCTACTTTCTCCAGCTGGGTTACCTCTGCCCCCCAAACAAGAGCACTCCTGTCTAACCCCCTAAAAGGAAGTGCTACAAAAAGTTTTGAGATGGTGCAGCCACTGTGGGTTCTTCAAAATGTTAGATATCAAATTACCACATGACCCAGCAATTCCACTTCTAGGCATATACACAAAAGAATGGAAAACTGGGACTCAAACGAATACTGTCTACAAATATTTATAGCAGCACTATTCACAATTGCCAAAAGGTGGAAACAACCCAAATGGCCCTCCACTCATTAATGGATAAATATCATGTGGTCCATCTATACAATGAAATATTATTCAGCCATGAAATGGAATGAAGCTCAGGTATATGGTACAATATGGGTGAACCTTGAAAACATCACGCTGAGTAAAAGAAGCCAGACACAAAAGGTCACATGTTGTATGATTCCATTTATATGAAATGTCCAGAACAGGCAAATCCACAGACAGAAAGCAAATTAGTGGTTGCCAGGGCCTGCGGGAGGGAATGGGGAGTGACTGCTAATGGAGACAGGGTCTCCTTTTGGAGAGATGGACATGTTTTAGAATGAAACAGAGGTGGTGAATGTACTAAATGCCACTGAATTGTTCACTTTAAAATAGTTATTTCATATTAGCTGAATTTTTGCCTCAATTTTTTAAGGCAAAAAAAATACAAAAAGTGTTTTGAGGACTCATGAATTTCTCATGGCGGCTACCCTGGAAGGGTCTGGAAGAACAGAGGGCGGGGTGGAAGGAAGACTTAACTTTCCCTCTTCATTTTTTGGGACTTTTTTGTTGTTGTTGTTCAGATAGAGTGGGAGGGAGAGAGAGGAAGAGAGAGAGAGAAACATCAACGTGAAAGGGACACATCGAGTGGCTGCCACCCGCACGACCCAACCAGGGCCAGGGACAAACTGCAACCGAGGTACATGCCCTTAGCAGGAAACGAACCCAGGTCTCTCTGGACCGCAGGCTGATGCTCTAACCACTGAACAAAACTGGCCAGGGCTGTTTTAGTTTTTTTAAAAATAAAATTAATAAGTTGACTGTACAACCCAGAGAATGGCCTCTAATGTAAACTATGGACTGTAGTTGATAATAATGTGTCTATATTGGTTTATCAATTGTAACAAACACACCACACTAATGCAAGGTGTTAATAACAGAAAATTGTAGGGAGTTGAAAGGGTGTGTTGAAATTCTATACTTTTTGTGTATTTTTCTGTAAATCTAAAACTTCTCTAGAAAATAAAGCCGATTTAAAAATTAATTAGTTGAGCCCTGGCCGGTTTGGCTCAGCAGTTGAGTGTCAACCCATGGACCAGAGAGTCCTGGGTTCAGTCCCCGCTAAGGGCATGTACCTTGGTTGCAGTTTGTCCCCGGCCCCGGTTGGGATTGCGTGGGTGGCAACCAGTCGATGTGTCTCTCTCACATTGATGTTTCTCTATCTCTCTTCCTCCCTCTTTCCCTTCCACTCTATCTGAAGATGGATGCAAAAAATGTCCTCGGGTGAGGATAAAAAAAAAATTAATTAGTTGAAATTAATGAAGAATGAGTTAAGATGCTTTGATTGGTAGGGAGTGGAATATTCTGGGGCACAGGCAATTTTCCCTCTCTTGATCTGGGTCTGGTGACAAGTGTGGGTTCAATTTGCAAAAACCCTCGAACTGTCTGTCCAGTTCTGGAATATGCACTTTCCTGTACATATATTACACTTCAACTTAAATAAATGAAAAGCTGTTTGGGCAAGGTATCATCCTTTAAAATGTGAGGTTTTGACTCAAACAAGCCTGGATTCGAATCATGACTCTCCTCAATAAAGCAGCCTTGAGTGAATAGAGTCCCCAATCTCAGCTTCCACTTAGCAATCTGGAAAATGAATTACTAATAGCAGGACCTACCTGTTAAGGTTGTTTAGGACACTTCAGTGAGATGAGGCTTAGTAGATAGCATGCAACATTTTAGCTATTATTCCTATTTCTACTTTTAGTATTTTATAGGAGTGAGAGAAACTCAAAGTTGACACTTCGGATGCTGTAGGAGGCTGCCACGCCCACTATTCTCTGCACCAGCCCCCAAGATCATCCCAGATACCAGGTAGGGCACCCAGCAGCCCTACCCTGGCAGAGGTAGCCCCACCTGCTCTGCTAAGGCCCCAAGTTATCTAGAGATGGAGGTGTCAGTGGCTCCAAGGCCCACGCCCATGGAGCTCTGGTTTGTCAGGTTAGCCCAGCCACCAGCCGGGGACTTGTCATACAAGGTGTGTGGGCTCCTAAGAAGGAATTCAGGACAGAAACCCTGACCTGCCAGAAACCACCTATCTGCCTTTCCTTGAACCACAGGTGCTGGGGCTCCCTAGAAGCCTGACAGCCAAGCACGGATCCCACAGCCCCACATCCCAGCTCTGCTCTCCACTCCTTCGTCGTGGCTCATGGCACCTCCTTGAACCCCTATATGCCAAAGGGCTGCCCCACCCAAGATTCATACTCTCCCAAAGTGCCAGGCCCCAGAAGGCCTGACTGAGAGGAAGCTTACCCCAGATTTCTGAGGTTCTGAGAAAGGACTTCAGGGTCAGTATTGAGGGCAAGACCAAGTTGACAAATCAGCATGGGGAAGGGGGGGGTCTCACTGAAGCTTGGGCATATTGTAGGAGATCCTGGCAGGAAAATAAGTTTTAAAACCACCAGTAGTAACCTAGATCATTCCAGGGCTGCAATGGTCTCTGAACACCGTCTGGAGCAAGTGTGTCCATGCTTAAATGTGAGACCCAGAAAGGATTCTATAAACATCTGCTGTGTGACCTCAGATGAGTGACTGTACCACTCTGAGCCTCAATTTCTTCCTCAGCAAGACAGAAACCATATTAACTGCCTCAATAAAGCTATTATGACAAAACAGCATTTTAATGTGCTCAGCTCAGTGCTTGACACACAGTAAGTCATTGATCAAAGGTACCTCTCACCCTTGGTTGGATTGGCTCAGCGGTTAGAGCGTTGGCCTGCGGTCCAGAGAGACCCGGGTTCGGTTTCCTCTAAGGGCACGTACCTCGGTTGCAGTTTGTCCCTTGCCCCAGTTGGAGTCATGCAGGAGGCGGCCACTCGATGTGTCCCTTTCACGTTGATGTTTCTCTCTCTTTCTTCCTCCCTCTCCCTCCCACTCTACCTGAACAAAAATGAAAAAATGTCCTCAGGTGAGGATTAAAAAAAAAAAAAGGTACCTCTCATTGCTCTTAGTGCTACCATCATATTCAGTATTGTACCTGGCCACCTTAGATTAGTAGAATAGGGCTCAAAGCTTGCTAGAAAGGAGAGAGAGGGTCCTATTTTGTGAATGACTCCTGAGACATCCAAGCCTCTCTGCAGATACCAACCCAGGTCACCACCGGCCATGAGCCCAGAGCTAATGTTACCACTTAGAAACCCAAGCTAGGCTATACAGAGAGGCTGGGGCCATTGGAAAGTGCCCAGGATGTTGGGGTCATACAAGGCTGGTTTGTTTAAATCCCAGCTTACCCACTGTTTCCCTGTCTTCTTCCTACCACCAGCCTGATAGTCCCCAGCTGGTGGGCCTCAGCTGCCTTGCATGGTTCAGAACAGCTAGCTACCTGCTGATCCAAGGGGTGAGAGCCTGGCCCCTGGGACACCAGAGAGCATCCTGTCGCCAGCATCCAACAAACATCAGCTAAGGTCAACTGCAGGACCTCACACAACCCTCACAGCCAACAGAGAGAATGACAGATGGGAGCCCAGGAGGGCATCCTGTTTTCATAGAAAGGCACTCGGTGGTGCTGTAGAGGGACCCGAAGGCAGCAGGAGCAGAGCATAAAGTTTGTCGGTGGGACACACAGCCTCCCGATTAAGACAATGAAATCCCACTGACCTCAATTAGCCCTAAGGCAGCGTCACAGGGCAAGGCTTGGATCCGTCTGAGATGTCCTGTTTTGGGGGGGCCGGGGGGGATCTTCTTGAGGACCCTGCCCACCGTGGACATCCAGAAAGGGTACACCCAGGACTCCTTGGCGTGCACAGAAAAAAATCCCCGCTCAAACGTAGCTACCGTCTAGGACACAGCCATATCCCCACAACCTGAGTGTCCCAGACACGCGGCCCGGTCCGGGGGATCCGCGAGGCCGCCGCGTGCAAACCCTCGCAACTGTCCTGTCAGCCCGGGAGACGGTGCTTCTCGGGTTCCAGCACAGGGAGCGCTCGGGTTATGCACCCCCTTCCGGCTGCACTTACCCCTTGGGTCTCGGCCTCAGGCCCTCAATCCGTATCCACCTGCGCCGCCACCTCGGTTCTGACCGCGCCCTCCCGCGGCCCGGCCCTTTAACCCGGCCCGACCGCACTGCGAGGCCCGCCCCCGGCCCGCCCCCAGCCTTGCGGGCCTCTGGGCGGGGACCTAGGCGCCCGGCCCAAAGACTGAGAGAATGAGAGAGACAGCCAGGGAGGCATGGACAGACAGAAAGGGAAAGACGCAGGGACTGAGTTGGAGAGAGAGATGGAGAGAAAACAAAGAGAGACAGCGAAAGAGACTTGCGGACGTCCAAAGAATAAGACAACCAGAAACCACAAATGCTCAGGCTCCTTCCCACTGCTCCTGTCTGTCTCCCATTAGCACCCAGACCCTCCTCCACCCATCCTCCCTTAACACCCTCGTCCCATACCAACACTCTTCATGGCCCCCTCTTCAGGGCCGATTCCCAAGCTTGGACAGGGGTCCCTAAGCCAGCACCCTGACTCCCCAGGGACCCCCAGAAGCCTCCTCTGAGGCCACCAGAAATCTTCAGACCTTTGGGAGCCAACCTTTCTGCTCCCTCTAGATCGTGGGTCTGCCTGGGGCTCTGCGGCTCTTCCTTCCAGGAAGACCTCTGGCCTCAACAAGCAGCCCCAGACTCTGGTTCTGCTCCTCCAACCCCACCCATCCAATGCCAGCCACCTCGACACTCCCTTGATTCTACTGTTGTCTTTGGCCAGCCCATTTGTTCCAGATGTGTCCAGACAGGGTCAACCCCACCTGCGGATGTGATACAGAGATACCATTCTTGGATCAGTGGGTGAGTGGCTGGGTAAGTGGGCAGACAGATGGGAGGACTCACAGCTGGCCTCTGACTCCCTACCATCTCCTCAGGGCCCAGCAAACCAGATGCCCAGGAAATACCTGTCCAAGTGGGGTAGGGGGGCGCACAGGAGACTAGAGAGAACAAAGACTCCAACTTTATTGCAGGCCCACCTGGGAAACCGAGGCACAAGTTGCAGGCTCAAGGAGAGGTGTGACTGTCCAGGTTCAGGCAGGGACCAGGTCAGACACTGAGAGCCCTAAAGCTATGCAAAAACAATGAGTTCAAAAGCTAAAACTGTAGTAAACCATAATGAAACTAAAGAAAGGAAGTGCAGGTATTGTCCCCAGGATGGCTATTTCAAAGTCTTTTGATTTATCAAAAATAAATTCTGGATGCAGTTAGACTTAGTGCCTGACTGGTGAGCCAAACAGGTGGGAGGTCTGACCTCGAGTCTGGTTAGCTTGATGGAGGGGGTCTGAGAGGTGAAGCAGGTCCAGAGCAGTGCTGGATTCTCAGAGGACAGAGCCTGGGGGCAAGGCCAAATGCAAAGCCATGTTGCACAGTGGTTAGAGTGTGGACTCTGGAAACAGAGGGTTCAAATGACTCCATCACAGACTCACTGTGAACCTCAGAAGGTTGCTGTAATGCTTTACAGCGGTTCTCACCTAAGGCAATTCTGCACCCCCCCCCAGGGGGCCTTGGGCAATGTCTGGAGACAGGTTAGGTCATCATACCTGGGGATGGAGGGGGGGCTATGGGCATCTAGTGGGTAGAGGCCAGGGATGCTGCTAAACACCCTATAATGCACAGTTTCCCACAACAGATTGTAACCCTGCCCCAGATGTCAACAGTGCCGAGAATGAGAAACCCTGCTTCAAAGTATAAGAAGCACACAGTAAGTGCTAGGTAAGTGCTGACTCTATTCGTAACTACCAATGGAGCCTCCAGACTTCTCCATCACCAGCAAATTCTTATTGCTAATTCCATGCTCTGTGCACCTCAGTTCAGAGAAAGCAATGGTTTTCCAATCCATCCATGCACAATCTTTGGTCAGGCAAGTCCTGTGTTAGCTGGCTCTGTCTCCACCTGAGACTAGGGTCTCCATGAAGGTGGGCCCCAGGATCAGCCGGTGCAGGGCTGGGCAGTGCTCAGCTCATAATAAATCTGTACCAGTGGTCAATGTGCTCCAAGCATGAGAATATAGCAGAAAAGAAAGAAAAACCAAATCCCTGTCCTCATGGAATGGAGACTCAAGTGGGGAAAACAAAATAAAGAAACATATCAGTCAGGAAATTTCTACCAGTGAAAAGGGATCTAACACAGGGTTTTGTGATAGGGTAGAGGGTGTGCTGCTATTTGAGGTTTGGTGTCATGTCCCTTCCTTGTTGAAACCCAAATAATGAGAATGAATGTTGACTTACATTATACACCTTAAATATATATAATTTTTATTTGTCAACTGTACTTCAATGAAGCTGGGGGGGGGGGGGATAAATGTTGAATGAATGAATTTTCACAAGTCTGAACTTCACAGAAAATATGTGCTCTGCTGTTCCCAAAGTCTAATACAAGTATCCTTATCTGTTAAGCCGGGTAATTTTAGATAGCACATTGAGGAACACTTTCTATTTATTTTCTATGCTATATATTTATGTTAAATGATAGACTTGGCTTGATGAGTAAAGAGCACAGTCTCATTGGTATAATAAGAGTGATATAAATTTTTCTGTAAAATAAATAAGGTTTAAAAGGAAAACCACTGAAAGAAAACTATTAATTCAGTAATAGAAACATAATACATAGATGGGGCAAAAAATAGTCACAGAAGATTGTGAAGGGTTGAAATTTCAGAATCAGATACCATCTATCTGAATTACCAAAGATGAAAGAAGAGGCTCAAGATCTCTAAATTTGAGTTTTGGAAATACTATTTTTCCCAAATTCAAGAAGCAGAGGACTTAAAAGAGAGAATTTAAAAACAAGTGTAAGTTGAACACAGACAACAAAGCTGAGGATGGGGTGGGGGGTAGGAGAGGAGGGTGTCAATGGGGGAAAATGAGAAACATCTGTAACAAAATCAAATTAATAACAAAACAAAAACAAACAAACAAACAAAAACACACAAAAAGTGTAAGTTGTCCCCTTCCCCAGCAGGTGGTAAACTTGGACTCTTCATTTCAGTAATATTCCCTCACTCGGTGCTGGGCCCTTGGCCAGGGTGGGAGGGGGCAGTGTTTCCAGGTGAAGAAGAAGTGATACAAATAATTGAAGCTTTGCTACTTGGAAGAGGAAGAAGGGAGGCCAGAGAAGGCTACGTGAAGGATGTGACATCTGAGCTGGTACTTCAGGGAGAGGTTGGATTTCAACAGGTGCGGGGAGAGGGGGTGGGGCTCAGACACAAAGAAACCTGAGGGTGTGTCTGGGCAGATGGCTTTCCCTGGCCTGGGGGTGTGAGGAGGCTGGAGGGGTGCAGGAGTGGATGTGAAGTTCTTTGAAGACCAATCCCAGTGACTGAGGGTTGATCTGGTGGGCAACGGGGAGCCACAGATGGTGCTTGAGCATGGGAGAAGCCCCACTTTGATTGATTTGTTTTAAAACACATTAGAGCCTATTGATTTTTTTAAGGGTGTGTATTATTTTTTAGGGATGTGGGGGGACATCCGCATTAGTGACTGGCTGTATGTGAAGTTCCAGGGAGCAGAGAAAGAGAGAAGAGGGTGTCATCCCAGCTTCTCTGCCCTCAGAAATGGAAGGAGAAACAAGTTAAAGGGCCTGGGAATGAGGAGTCACTGAGAGTGGCTTCCTGGATGTGTGACCTTGGGTAAGTCGCATCATCATTGCTAACCTCCATTCCACACAGATAAAATAGAGGAGGTGATTACAAGTTGAGATGGTAGTTACAGAGTGCTCAGCCCCATGCTTGGCACACAGCTTGGTCTGAACAAACTTTGGCTCTTCAGGTTTGCCAATTGATTTGGGCTACCTTAGAGGTTCTCAAACAGGATGAATTGTCATCTGGCAATGTCTGGAGATACTTTGGTTGTCACACTGTGGAAGGGGAGGTGCTACTGGCATCTAGGGGGCAGAGACTAGGAATGCTGCTAAACACTGTACAATGCATAAGACACCCCACCCCAGAGAGTGATCTGGCCCCAAATCTCATCAATGCTGATGCTGAGACACTCTGTGTTACCTTGAGTCTAAAAGGCCCATGGGCTGTTCAGGGAGACTCCCAGGAGGCAGCTGGGCCCCTCCTGGAAGTGTGTCTGTGAATCACCTAATTGGGGAGACAGTGGATGCCCTAGAGTGGGTCAGTGAGGTTACTCAGGGAGGGAGAAGCACATAGAAGAGGGTGGGGAAACAGAAGCTGCATTTAGGGAGAGGACAGGCAGAGGCACAGCACTGGAAGTGGAGATAGTCTCATCTGGAAGGTTAAGGAAGAGTAGAAATAGGTACCATCACCTATGCCCAGAGGTTAAAGAGCCAAGGCCCCAGGAGGGGACAGGACTATGTGGTTAGCAGGTCACTAGAGTCCTCAGCACGGTGGCAGCCAAGGTCCCAGTGGACCAAGATCAGAGTGGGAGGATAAGAAGTGGAGACAGTGGCCAGATTAAGAAGATGGTACCAGAAAGACATCTGGAAGTAGATAAAAGTGGAACATGGCTGGGGTGAGAGAAAGGCTTTTCCTGGGGATCCAGAAGCTCATGACAGACTTTTAGGGAAAAAGATTAAAAAAAGAGAGATTCTATCATACACTGTTGAAGGAGATGTAAAATGGGGCAGCCACTAAGGAAAACAGTTTGGCAGTTCTTCAAAAATGGAAATATACAATTACCATATGACCCAGCAATTCCACTCCTAGCATATACCCAAAAGAATTGAAAACAGCCCTGGCTGGTTTGGCTCAGCGGTTAGAGTGTCGGCCCGCTGACCACAGTCTAGGGTTCAGTTCCCACTAAGGGCACATACCTTGGATGCAGTTTGTCCCCGGCCCCAGTTGGGGTCGTGTGGGTGGCAACCAGTCGATGTGTCTCTCTCACATTGATGTTTCTCTCTCTCTCTTCCTCCTTCTCTCCTTCCCACTCTATCTGAAGATAAATGCAAAAATGTCCTCTGGTGAGGATAATAAAAAAAAAGAAGAAGAATTGAAAACAGGGACTCAGATACATGTATGTGTGTGTCCATAGCAGTACTAGTCATAATTGCCAGAAGGTGGAAACAGCCCAAGTGTCCATCAATGGGTGAATG